GCATTTCTTCCCCAGTGACTTCCCCTTAAAATGCAAGGCTGAAAGAGTTATATTAAGAGAAATATAAGCCTGGAGTAATACAAGATCTATTAGTGCTTACATTTTTTTGCAGCCGGGCAATCAAAGTATACAAAGAAATGGACACACTTCAGTTGGCACTGACTAAGGGTTGGATAATGCTTTGATTCTGCGGAAAATGAACAGGAATAAAGGTACAGAAATTGGTCAAGTGCAAAAGCCTGTCACTCATCATATATAAAAATATATTGATAGGTATTATACAATTCACATCTCCGAGCTTCTGGGTACAGTTTTTAAATTGATCCGTGAGTGGTCCATGTTTGTTCAATCACTTTGTCCCGTTTTTTTAATCAAGATTCACTACAAGGCAAAGGGACAGCACCCAGAATAAAAATAAAAACAAAAAAAAAACTGTCATGATCGCACTTCATAGTCACTTCATTCACCTGCCGTTCCCTCCCCCCTCTCTTATTATCACCTGCTCCCTCTGCTATATATATATATATATATATATATATATATATACACACACAGTTCAGCCCGGATCATTACACATGTATTCTTTGTTTATTCATAAATTATTTGTTTATTTGTGTTATCTATTCATCTCAGTGAGCCCAGTGGATTGAGAGGGTTTGGTGTTTGTCGCCTGATCGTGTCTTAGCTGTTGTCTGCTGAGCCCTCGGGGTTTTGGCTCAGCGTGTATCGGGAGCTCTAGTTCTGGCCCTTCACAACGGAGCCCTTGGGGTTTTGGCTCGGGACACAGAGGAGGTCAGTTTTAATTTCCTTAAGCCTGGCTTAAGGGAATTAAAACTGGTCTCCAAGGTGGAGACCAGTTTGAAGTTCTGCAGTAATTCCGTTACCATGTCCTCCTGTCTCTGTCCCTCAACAACTGAGCCTGCCTGTCTCCATCTGAGCGTGCCTGTCTGCTGGGCTCATTGAACTCTGAACCTGCCTTCACGCTCTCAGGATTCCTGGAACCCTGGATCTGTCTGTTTCTGTTTGGGTTGGAACCTCTGGTCGGGCTACAGACTCCTGGATCTTGGAATTTTTTCTCTGACCTGGGTCGGTCTCCTACCTGCTCACTAAGTTGCTGCATCAGGGACATTTTGGACGGCTTTGAGCCGCATCTCTTTCGGTGGTCCATCGGCTGGATCTTGCTTTCCTCGGAGAAGATGGACTGAACTGTTAAACCAGCTAAGTGACTTACTCGGATAATCATCTCCTGTCATATGATTGCAGCCACTAACCTGTGTTTCTTTCTCCAGAGTGTTCTGGAATTCTGGGTACATCTGTCCCGTTTTATGACAAAAACACCAAAGGTTTCAAATTGTGTAGCACATAACAGCACTAACGTCTAAATTTCTGCCTTTAGAAGTATAAAGACTAAACTCCCATGTGTGGATCTTGTCCTGTGCATATTTGAATCATGGGGAACAGTCTTGTTTTTTTGTTTTTCAAACTAGCCCTGTGTGCTTTGGCCACATTTCAGTGAGTGTTTTAGTTGTTCAATCTGGGTTTTTTTTTTTTTTTTTTGCAGGGTCACTTAAGAAGAAAAAGGCAATATATATAAGAAGTCGACTCTCTACAGGTTCTTTATTACCAAAATCTGTTTTTTTTCTCGGTACACACATTGAAATATTTTGGGAATATTACAGTGAACATTATACTACAAAAATATTGCTTTTATAGTTAAAATACTTAAACAAAAGCTTCTCACAAAGATCTTGGAGGTCATATCTGGAACAACAAAGTTCAGATACAGCTGCCGGTGTGGACACACCCAAACTTAATCCTATCTCCATACGATTTTTAACAGCACCTCAAGAAATTTAATAAATCATATTAACACATCTTCACATATCGATTGTATTAGCATCTTGTCAGGATAACATCATACTTGGTTTCTGCACAGACTATTCATCTTACAAGTAGCTGTCTCCTGGTTTGACGGCATCGTTATTTACTTTGCTGCCTAGCCTGGAGAGTTTTGATACACCTCTGCTGCATAGAAATGTGGAACTGCAACAATATAACATAAAATATAACATAAAAGGATACAAACATTTTTCTTCCTTATACTGCATCTGAATAAACTTTATTCCAACTTTGGGTCCATAGGGATAACGAATTTGAATATTTTATGCAAGAATAAGAAGAATTACGTTTTGTAATATCTATTATTTCGTAAATATTCAAAATGTTTACATGCAATAAGATTATAGTCCTAGTGAACTTACAGCTCACAAATGCTGCATTTGACTTTTTAATCTCTGTTACGATATTCTCCATGTCACAATGACTGCAGTGAGTAGACAGAGCCCTCCGTTAACAGAGGGTTAGTTGATTCGGACCAGAGCAGGTGATTTTTACTTCTGTTTCAGTGTCCGAGAGAATGAAATGTCTGGGTCAGATTATGAGGAGAAAAAAAATGCCAATGTGGCTAGAAAGCAGAAACATAAGTAATATAATTTGTCTGTACTAGCACCATTTTGCTAGCAGAACACCATTTTTCTTCTGGCTACAATGTCTATGTGCGTTTTGACCAATCATTGTTTGATCAATAAAGCATGATAACGAATAACACAAAAAAAGAACTTACCATTAATGTACATCCAATCATTTCTTTTGTTTGTTGTTTTTTTTTACAAAATAGATAAGTATGTCTGCCACAAAACAGTTGAATATGTCTTAGCACATGATGAAGTTGGAGTGCTTCTTCTCTCTAGTGCTAATGATGGTTGAAAAACAACTTTAAGATGCATTACAGTCACCTACAGGAAAAGATTGTGGGCAGCTCCACAAACTTAAATCAAATCTCAATAACTGTATTATGAAAAAAAAAAATATATATATATATATTCCTCCTAAAAATCAAACAAACAAAAGAAAATTAAATATATAAAAAGAAAAACCTAAACTATTGTTTCTTCTATGTAATCTTTACTAGAACATCCCTGTGTTTTTTCCATTGCAGTGTGTGGTCTGTTTCTCTGGGGTCCAGAGTTATTGTAAAAGTATCAGTAAAGTCCTTAAATGTGTATTTTTATTTTTCAACCAAAAAGGTAGCATTGTAAATAACTACTGCATGCTAGATTTTTAAGAGACGTTTAGCTAATGTTAGACAACATTAACATTTCATACAGAAAAGGAAATTTGCACATATTATAATGAAATACTGATCTGTCTTTGGTCGTTGGTGGTTTGCACTGAAATGGTAACATTAAGATGAGGAGAGATTAAGCAGTGATTTTTAAATATAGTATATTTTTATCTTTTCTGATACTTGTACTATATGTACACGTCATACTTTTTAAATCTTGTTTCTATGGTTACTTTCACAATATGATAAATAAGTCCAATAAAGTTTTCCTTTCGACTATCATTATCTCCCACATTACACTGAGAGCACGATATTTACCAGCTATATTAATCCCTCTTAATCCTTCCATTCTTATTTTCCTTGAGTGCTTCAGCAAATAAAATTCTTTATTTTTGATTTACCATTTACTCTTAGCACTATAAACCCTTCCGAAATTACAGTTATTTTAACATCTGGATTGTTTTTCTGTTTGTGTTTTATAGACTGCACGTATTTCTCTGTGTTGTACATAATTTCAAAATGCACTGAAAATAGAGAATTCTTTTAAAATTTTAAGAAATAGAACACACAAGTTAAAAAACAATCCACTGGACTTTTTTTCCAAGTTTAGTACTCAATAAATTGTTAACTAGAGTGCAGAGACTCTAAAACATCCCAACATTCTGACAGAGAAACACACCTTGAGTAACAATTAAACCAAAATCGTAAAAAAAAAATATATATATATATATATGTAAACATTTAGCATTCAAAAAAAAAAAAAAAAAAAAAAACTTCTGTCAATATGCTCTATCCAGAACATCTCAAGTGGCAAGTCCCAAGTCTTCCAGTCAAAGACTTACACCACTATACGACAGAGAGAGTGAATGCTGGTACTGTACAAAACAGTAATATAAATCAATTAGATCCAGACATGCCAAAGCTTCTACAGTACATTTTTAGGATAATAGTTATTCACTTGAGAAAAAAATTACAACTTCTTAAATTTTGATATGTTCAGTCAATAGAATTGGTTAGGAAATGTGTGTTAAAGACTATTCAAAGTATACAGTTAATTCACTATTGTTTGCCAAATCAATAAATCGGTGAGCAATGTCATGGACTCTTATGCTAGGTTCAGACCGCAAGCACTAGAGGCAGCAGAAGCAGCTAGTTTACATGCAAAGTCTATGGTTGATGCAAATCAAGGCATATCAAAAGGTCCTGTAGATCATTTTGAGTAGCAGGAGCAGCGTGTCTGAGAGGGACCGAAAACCTAGAGTAGGCGACCGGGCCAGAGGCTGGCGTTGGAGCAGATTTCCAGGGACAAAGCATCCCTGTACAATGTTTTAGACTGTCATTGTAAGGGGGGACAGCAAAATAATATTTTCAAGGCATCATCCTAATCTTGATGAACTGGTTGCACTGATGAAGTTTTCAGGTTCACTTTCTCGCTTAAATATATATTAAAACGACTTTTTATCCACAGCAAATATC